AGAGGGAGCTGCTGTTCCTTTCCCCCCTCTCTGGGGAGGTTGGATGGGAGTCCCCAGGACCATCCCGGGCAGTAACAACGTATTGCAACTGCTCCTGGAATGCTGCTGATCCCTGTCTGGCAAAATCTCGAGGAAACTTCATCTTTGGTTCTGTTTTGTCTCTGAAAGGGAGAAACTTTGATGAGATCCACACGGAACGTGCTCTGAATTACTTCCAAATCCATCCAGCTGCCACCAAAACAAGCTGGAAAAAGCTTTTAAATTTGCTTCCTAAGTGGAACCAGTTATTTTCAGAGCAGTGGGAATGCGCAAAGAGCACACTCTCGTTTTTATCTAGTCCTGGGAATGCTGGCAATTTAAAAAGTGCCTTAAAGCCGTTAATGAAATAACAGAAGATCACCCCCTGCTGTGCCACGGGGCAGACGGGGGGGCATTGGGCTGCCTGCGGCAGGAGGGACAGGGGCGGACCCCTGGATCCACTACGTTTGTTCCGTGCATCGCTTGGTCTCCAGGAATATTTATATTAAAGGGAATTTCTGCCCAGGCCGCGTCTCCATGGCAACCGCCCGGGCCGCGTCTCCATGGCAACCGCCCGGGCCGCGTCTCCATGGCAACCGCCCGGGCCGCGTCTCCATGGCAACCGCGCCCTCGCGGCCGCCGTAGCTGCGCGCGCCGCCGGGCGGTCACGTGAGCGGGAGCGATGGAGGCGGCCAAGATGGCGTCCCCCAAGAGCGCCCCCAAAGACGCGCAGGTACCGCGGGCGGGGCGGGCGGCGGGGCCGGGGCTGGGGGCGTTCCCCGCGGCTGAGAGAGCCCCTGTGCCCCGCAGGTCATGGCGCAGATCCTCAAGGACATGGGCATCACCGAGTACGAGCCGCGCGTCATCAACCAGATGCTGGAGTTCGCCTACAGTGAGCGGGGCCGGGGCGGGAGGGGCTCGGGAAAGGCCGGGGGGAGCAGGGCGGTGCTTTATCCGTGTCCCCTTGGGGACTCCCCTGTCAGCCTTTAACCACTGGGCTCGGTGATCGTGGACGTCTTTTCCAGTCTTAATTCCGGGATTCTTTGAGAGTAATCCCGGAGTCAGCCCAGGGTGGTTTGGGTTGGAAGGGACCTTAAAGCCCACCCAGTCCCCCTCCCTGCCGTGGGCAGGGGCACCTTCCACCAGCCCAGGTTGCTCCAACCTGGCCTTGGACACTGCCAGGGCTGGGGCAGCCACAGCTGCTCTGGGCATCCTGTGTGTGCCAGGGCCTGCCCACCCTCCCAGCCAGGAATTCCTTCCCATATCCCATGGAACTGCCCTGGCAGCGAGCAGTGACCCTGCAGGCAGCCGTGCTTGCAGCGGCAGGGCTGTCAGGGAAGGGCTGAGCTGAGCTGCCCCCCCAGGGTACGTGACCACCATCCTGGAGGACGCCAAGATCTACTCGAGCCACGCCAAGAAGTCGAGCGTGGACGCGGACGACGTGCGCCTGGCGATCCAGTGCCGCACTGACCAGTCCTTCACCTCCCCCCCGCCCCGGGACGTGAGTGCAGCCCCCACACTGCCCCCAGAGCCCCCCCGGGGCCAGGGAGGGGCAGGGGGGACGTGAGCCTGCCCTGTGCCCGCAGTTCCTGCTGGACATCGCCCGCCAGAAGAACCAGACCCCGCTGCCCCTCATCAAACCCTACGCGGGGCCGCGCCTGCCCCCCGACAGGTACTGCCTGACCGCCCCCAACTACCGCCTCAAGGCCCTGCAGAAGAAGGTGAGGGCTCTGGGAAGGGGGAGGCTGGGGAGGCCCCTCCTGGGGGGGCAGCTGTGGGGCTGGGGTGACCATTTCCCACAGCCCTGGAGGGCACTCGTGGTCATCGGGGTGGGCACCTCAGTGGGTGTTTGGAGCCCTCAGTGGGTGTTTGGAGCCCTCAGTGGGTGTTTGGAGCCCTCAGTGGGTGTTTGGAGCCCTCAGTGGGTGTTTGGAGCCCTCAGTGGGTGTTTGGAGCCCTCAGTGGGTGTTCAGAGCCCTCAGTGGGTGTTTGGGTCAGTGGGTGTTTGTAGCCATCAGTGGGTGTTTGGAGCCCTCAGTGGGTGTTTGGAGCCCTCAGTGGGTGTTCAGAGCCCTCAGTGGGTGTTTGGAGCCCTCAGTGGGTGTTTAGGACTGTCAGAGCCCTCTGTCTCCAGCCTGTATTTGCAGATATTCTTATGACCAGGCAATCTGAAATGCAAACTGCGTTATAAAATCCATCTGGGAATTTTGTAGCGTTTAAGCAGTATCCCAGACTCACTGAGGTTGGAAAAGACCTCCAAGACTGAGTCCAACCTGATCCCCCAGCCCAGGCACTGAGTGCCATGTCCAGGCCTTCCCTGGACACCTCCAGGGGTGGGGACTCCAACACCTCCCTGGGCAGCCCCTGCCAAGGCCTGACCACCCTTTTCCAGGAAGAAATTCCTCCTGGAGTCCAGGAGGAACTGTCAGGTTGTCAAAGGCACAAGCCAGGGTGTGGTGTAGATATTGAGGGGTATTTTGTGATTCCATCTCAGTTATTTCCGCTTCAGTGGGAAAAGATTGGCTTTGCTGAGTGTCTCAGTGTGGGGGTTTCCTGTTGATCCCCCCATTCCCTGTTCTCTCCCCAGGTCTCCTCCACAGCAGGCAGGATCACAGTCCCTCGCCTGAGCGTGGGCGCCGTGAGCAGCAGGCCCAGCACTCCCACTCTGGGTAGGAAACAGCTCCAGGGGGGCTTCCCACCTTCACTTTATGGAGGGAAAATAAAGAGGAATAATTTAAAGCACTTTTCAACCACTGAGGGAATGCCAGGGGTCACTGACTGTTTGACAGTTAAATTAATTTAATCTTTATTACTACAGTAATCTTTGATACATACTGACATTACAAATGCTCTGTATTTGTGATAAATTCTTTATTTAAGAGGCTGTTCAAGAAATTTATTGAAGTTTCAGGGTTTTTCCTCAGTGTCAGCATGACACTGAACTGAATTGAACTGAAGAGCCATTTCTAAAAGGTTCACAAAATTGAGGGCTGAGCACGTGCCCCTAGAAGTGGGTGTGTTTATAGCCTGGAATTGTGTGGGGCTGGAGCAAATCTGGGACAAGGGGTCAGTGTGTGGTTCTGCCTGGGAATCTGACTCCTTATAGCCAGGATTGTGTGTCCCTGTGCATTCCCACAGGTTCCACTTTGGGAGCAGGTTCAGGAGTGTCTGTTGGTGTACTGTGATGGGTTTGAGGGTTGTATTCTGATGGGTTTGAGGGCTGTGTTGTGATGGGTTTTGAGGGCTGTGTTGTGATGGGTTTGAGGGCTGTGTTGTGATGGGTTTGAGGGTTGTGATGGGTTTGAGGGCTGTGTTGTGATGGGTTTTGAGGGCTGTGTTGTGATGGTTTTGAGGGTTGTACTGTGATGGGTTTTGAGGACTGTGTTGTGATGGGTTTTGAGGGTTGTACTGTGATGGGGTTTGAGGGCTGTGTTGTGATGGTTTTGAGCTCAGGCTGTGTTGTGGAGGGTTTTGAGGGCTGTGTTGTGATGGGTTTGAGGGCTGTGTTGTGATGGGTTTGAGGGCTGTGTTGTGATGGGTTTTGAGGGCTGTGTTGTGGAGGGTTTTGAGGGCTGTGTTGTGATGGGTTTGAGGGCTGTGTTGTGATGGGTTTTGAGGGCTGTGTTGTGATGGGTTTTGAGGGCTGTGTTGTGATGGTTTTGAGGGCTGTGTTGTGATGGGTTTGAGGGCTGTGTTGTGATGGGTTTGAGGGCTGTGTTGTGATGGGTTTGAGGGCTGTGTTGTGATGGGTTTTGAGGGCTGTGTTGGTTTCAGGTACCCCCTCAGCCCAGACCGTGTCTGTGTCAGCCAAGGTGGGGGCCCCGGTGTCCCTGGCCGGACAGCGCTTCACCGTGCAGATCCCATCATCCCAGCCCGCTGGGAAGTCAGGTATGCCTGGGATTGCCTGGGATTGGAGCACAGGGATAACCACGGGGTGCTTTGGGAATGCAGGGGAAAAGCTCCTCCAGTCCCAGCCCTGCCATGGACAGGGACACCTTTGCTATCCCACATTCTTCCAACCTGGACACTTCCAGGGATGGGGCAGCCACAGCTGCTCTGGGCAGCCTCAGGTGGGAAGTGACCTCCCTCTCCCTCATTCCAGTAATTCCCAGTGTCCTTTCCCATTCCCAGCACAGCAGGGACAGCCACAGCATCAGTGTCTCTCACACCTTGGCTCCCCTCTGTGCTCTCCTCCTCTGTCCTCACCCCACAAGCATTTCCCACCCTTCTCCTCTCCCACCTGGGGATCATTCCAGGGTTTTCACCCAGGATGTTCAGCCAACACTCTGCTTTATTGCCTTGGAAGTTGTTTCAGTGGAAGATCCCTGACATTTTTCCAAGCTCTCACTAAACCATTCCCTTTGGTGCCGCAGCCACCCCGACCACCCCGACCGTGCAGAACGTGCTGATCAACCCGTCCCTCATCGGCCCCAAGAACATCCTCATCACCACCAACATGGTGTCCCAGGGCACAGCCAGCGACCCCAACCCCCTCAAGAGGAAGCACGAGGATGAGGATGACTATGACACCTTGTGATGGCAGTGGGGACTGGGCAGGGGGTGGGAATGTGGGAATAAAGTGGAGTGTGTTTGTAACCAGGCCCCTGTTTTGTGCACACCCCCAGTGGGATCTGGGGCAGGTGGTTTTGATCTGGTTTTCATCTCCAATCACAGCCCCTTCAGCAATGCCAAGGACTCCTCTGAGGATCACTCTTTTCCCCTGTTTGACATCCATATCTTGGTGTCCCTGACTGTCATTTCCACTGTCCCTTTCTTCCCCCAGGAGCCAAATGATGCAGTGGAGGGTTCCAGACACCCCAGCCCTGTATCCCAGGGTCCTTCCCAGCACAGAGGCACCAAGAGCCCAGGAAAATCTTGGCCCAGGAGTGTCTGGAGACCAGTTTTAAGTGCAGAGAGCCCAGACTGGGGGGTGGTTGGTGCACACAATAATAATCAAATTCAGGGCCAGTTTTTAAACTCATTTATTTATTGAAACTAAAACTCAGAATTAAAATTCCTAAATTACTCACAGAAGACAAGTTTCTAACTTGACTGAATAAGGACAGACCAGTTCTCAAAGGGGCCAGAAACCCTAAGCAGCTCTTAGGTGCTGGTTTAAGACCACAGCCAGTGTGTCCTCCCTCCAGGGGTCTCCCAGGACAGCTGGAACAGTTCCTCAGGCTCTGTGGGAACACAGGACCAGATCTCCTGTGCAAAGGCTGAGTTGTGTCAAGATTACAGATTAAAGTGTACCTAGTGTTCACAGCTCAGGAGGAGGGAGGGACCTGGGAAAAACAACCTGGAAAATCACCTCCCCTCCCTACAGGAATTCCAGAGGAAAGTTTGTCCCCCTCCCTCCAGCCCCACACACAAATATTTACAGAGACACAACTACAACCCCCAGTGTTTGACTCCCTTGCTGAGGGCAGGAGCATCAGGCACAGCAGGAGAGCCCAGCTCCTTCCAAAGCCACCAGGAATGTGGCCTAAAGGGTCAGGACAGGTCACTGGAACTCCTCCTTGATGGGAGTGCAGCCTGAGAAGAAGCTGATGTTGCTGTTCAGCATCCTCTTCTTCCTCTTGACAAAGGGGACGTGGTTCTCCTGGGCCTCCTCGTCCCTCAGGAGGGAGGAAGGAGAGCTGGGCACCTTCTGGAGCACGTCCTGGGCTGTGATGTCCTGCAGGACCTGTTGGGAGAGCAAGGCAGAAACCTTGGACTGGTCCCTGCTGGAGCAGCCAGGGAGCTCAGCCCAGAGCACAGAGAGGCAGCACAGACAGGGCCTGCCAGGCCAACCTCAAGAGTTGCTTCATTTTTTCACTTAGACAAATTTTTTAACAAAAGACCGAGCAGGAAGAGACAACAGTTGAAATAGTGGGAACCAATATGAGATAAGGGCATTTATTTAGCTGAGGCAAAATGAGCCAAGTCAGAGAACACAGTAAGCTTAAAACCAGTGAATTTGAACAGAGACAGATGTGATTTTTTCTTCAAGCTCCTCACTTCCTTCTCTCCGTGCTGGAAGGTGCAGCAGGAAAGCAGGGCAAGCCTGTGTGGCAACATTTTAGTGTGAAAACAAGAACCCAGCACCCTCAGAACTCCAACACGAGCTGCCTTGTCATCTGGGGCTGCAGAGGCTTTTCCAGCTGCAGCTTTTTCCCCTTGGATAATCTTCCTCTAAATCCCTCACTGTCCCCAGTCAGAACCTCAGCTCTGTCCCCCAGCCCTGGAATACCTTTGTGGTTGGAGTGACACAGGGGGGCTGGAAGAAGCTCTCTCCTGCTCTCACCAGTGTGGGGTCCTCCAGCTTCAAGGAGCCTTCCGAGTCCCTCTGGGGGTCCTCGCACATCGTGGCCTCCTGAGGGGCAGCACAGTGTGAGCACATTCCTGGTGCTACAACCCCCTCCCTAAATTACCCATTCCATTCTTAAAGAAAAATATTTAATGACTGATACAGTTATGTATAAATAGACAATAACAAAATCTATAGATATAATAACAAATAATAATAATATGGGTTAAGCTTTCGTGGTGTCTGAAGCCAAAGATACAACTTGAATTTACCAAGTGCAAAAGAAAGACTGAATTATTTGCCTTTAGGTTTATGGCTGTCAATTGGGAGTAGGTAAATCTGTGATGTGACACCCCCAAATATCTGTTAATACTAAATAATACCATACCTAATTATAGATAATATCTAAATTATATATAAGTGCCCTTTTATATGTCTACATACACTTGTATTATACCCATATTATACCCATGGTTTATTCTTTTCTACAGACACATCTGTTTGTACAGTCTCAGACACTCTTTTTATTCCAGTAACATGTACAGCCTGTACCACTTAAAAACATAGATAACCTAACATGTAATATGGATTATTTTTTAATTCTAAGCATTACCTGCTCACAACACTACTCCTACTTATATACTGTTCATATTTGTGTAAATATGAACACAACTTTTTGATACCCAGCCGTGATTTAAAAGAACTCACCAGCGGGGGGTCCCGGTTCCTGCAGGTGGCCGAGTCACAGCTGCAGCCGCTGGAACATCCCACCTTCTGCTTCCTGCAGCCACACTGCCTGTTCCCACAGCGGCCCCGGCACGAGCACTGCGGGACAGGGATCCCTGCTCTGCCCGGGGCACCGGCACCGCCCGGGGGTGGCAGCCCAGGGACAGCGACGTCCCCGAGCCCCCACACCCCTCGATTCAGTGCCAGCCCTGCGTCCCAGATAATAAAATCCTTCCCTGCACACCCATCTCCTGCTGCAGAACCCCCAGGATGAGCACCTGGGGTTCCTCAGGTTATCCCAAAGGCTCAGTAGTGACTCTGCATCTCCCCATCCTCTGTGCACACAGATCCTTGGATACAGCCCAGCGAGCCCCTGCTATGTCCTGGATCAAAGGGAACCGGATCTTACCCCCGTGAGGCTTTTCTTTGCCCCTCTGGCAGCTCTGGCAGGAACCCAGTCGGAATCCTCCAGGTCCCCGGAGTCGGAGAGCAGCTCCTCCAGGTCCATCTCGGGGCTGGGCGCGCGGCTTGGCCGTCGTCTGCCGGCGGGCCTTGGGCTGCAGCACGGGGGGCAGAGCTCAGGGGGCAGGGCTGGCACAGGGCCTGCATTCCACTCACAGTTCTCCAGTGTTGATTTAATATTTCATTGAGGGACTCAGAGCCCCACACTCCCCGTTCCTCAGCCAGCCAAGGAGGCGAGGGAGGAGGAAAACCATCAAATCGTCAGGATTAAAAATTCAGTCAATTGAAACTCCTGTAAGTGACAACTCCTTGGAAGGCTGAGTCATATCACATGACAAAAAACATTTGTGTCACTCTTGCCCACATAGCTTTAAATCATTTCTTCCTCCCAGCACTAAGATTTGACTCTTTGCAAGGCAATGGTTACCCTTGCTATGACACATTCCTTGCTCCACAGTTTAGAGACTGGAAATGCTACAGATAAAACATCTGGACTGTGAAGGAGGATGCAGAGTCAGACAGAAGTAGAAGGAGGAAACAGGTTAGGGGGTTTGGTTGTCTTTTTTTAACATCAAAAAACTAGTGCAAGGTAGTTTTGAGTGTTCTGAAAAGGACTGAAGGGGCCAACTTCAAAAAGCAGAATGAGCTGCCTGGTAAAAAGCAACTTAGGAGAAAGAACCCAAATTATTAATAGCCAAGATTAACTTAGGAGAAGAACTCAGGTACAATCCAAGCATGAAATCTGTGCAGGATCTTACTTTGACTGGGATATATTCAAAAGAAGAGTCTGGAGACTCTGATGGCCTTTGCTGGATGTGCCGGAGCTTCTGGCCACTGACAACTTGGAGGAGCAGCAGTTTCTGTTAAAAGGAACAAAAATTAGCTTTGCAAAATACAGAAATCAACTGCCACTAATCTCTCAAGGCTTTACCTGTTTCAGAGAGTCATTTTCCTGGAGGAGTTCCTGGTTCTCCTCCTTCATTTTCTCCAGCTCTTCCTCCTGTTTGCAAGGCAAGAGGAAATTTATTTAATTAAAGGTAAAGAGAAAAACTCCAGGATTGTTCAGACCTGCACAGCAAGCACCCCCTGCCAAGGGAACACTCACAGTCCTCCTGCACCTCCCTCATTCCAAAGCTCCTGTTCCAAGTACCAGGCATCCCAAAGGATCCCACCCTCCCTCCCAGCCACAGCCAGACACTGTACCTGGAACCTGAGTCGCTCCTGCAGCTGCTTCTCCTGCTCATTTAGGGAATCTTCCCATTTCTTCTCCTCTGCTTCTTTTTGCTGGAGTTGGCTGAGCAGGTACAGAACCTGAAAGCAAGTTAGAATGACCAGGTAGGAATTCCTGAAGGAACACCTGTCCAGGCCCAGGCATCAAAAACTTGGCAATTTCAGGCAGACTCTGCCACTTCCAGTATTATCCCACCCTCATCTACTGAAAAGTGATCTTGTGCTCAGGGGTAACATCCTTAAAGCATCAAAACAGTTACTGGATAAAGCAACTGGCACAGGGCACAGGATCAACAGTGAGATTTGGCTTTTGATTAATCATCATCTGCAAAAGTCTAAATTTGAGTTTATGAACAGCACCAGCTTGATTTCACCACATCCCCTTTGCCTTTGAGCAGACCTGGGAAATCGGTCCCAGAGTTCAAGACTTCCATGGCCTGTGTTTTACCTTTTCCTGGTGCTGCTGTTCCTGCACCACAAGCTGATTTTGGAACTCAGTCTCCAGCTCTGTGACGTGGTTTCTCTCCTCCATCAGCATCTTCTGCACGTCTGCGCAGGTGGCTTTGCCCTGCTCCAGGCTGCTCTGCAGCTTGCTCTCCTGAACTTTGGAGGAGACCAGCTGGAACAAAGGCAACGTTTGGGTCAGGGATTCCACGGTGGGAAAGGTGCTGCTGGCTGCAGGTGAAGCACTTCTGTCCTTTCCAGCCACCCCAGGAACCCAATTCCTACTCCTCTCTCCCCACTCTTGTCCAAACTTTTCCCATCTCAACACCCAACAGTGTTTCCCCTGACCTCAACCAGCACTCCCCTTGTTTCTCTGCTTGTCCAGGAAGTATTTTTAGGGACTTCTTTCTCTTCCCTTCTAAAATTTGTCTTTTTAGTTTCTTATTCCCATGCAAGCCTTTCATAAGCACAGCTTTAGCTGGCATCTCCAGACCCTCATATATTCCATTCCCCTCTTCCCTGTTTTTTGGATTCCACTGCCCAGTACAGAGTATTTTAATCCAAAGCTGTGAGGGAAATAAACCTCATCCAGTATAAAAGAGTGCTCCACTCCAATTCCTTCTGTTCATTCCTGGCTGAGCAGACTTAGAGCCTTTGCTTTTAGGGATAAAACAGGAAAATCCAGTTTTACCTCTCCCAGGAGGTACTTCAGAGCACATTTGGCCTCCAGGATTGTGGCAATGCTGTCCCAGCGCTGCTTGGCCCGATCCCCATTGTCTGCATCCAGGAGTTTCTGCTGCAGATCTGCTATCTGGGCACTCCTGAGGAAGAATCCATGGATTTGGGGTTACAACACAGGAGAAAACCAGGGCTAGAGTTACTGTTCCCAGAATATCAGGTGAAATAGTGAAGTTACAATTTTGATGCCTCAGTTGGGCAGCTGGAGCCTGCATTGCTCCACTGGGGGGTTCTGCCTTCCCTTCACATTCCCAAAGGAAGGGGAAGGTTTTCCTCACACAGAGGTGCTCACAGACAGTTCAGAAGAATCCAGCCTTAGTGACTGAGTAATGTCTACACTGTGGAAAACTCCAAGCCAGGAAAACCCCACGCTCTCATCTCATTGTTCCCAGTTCAGTGTATAAATGTTTTACATTCTCTTCCATTTCACAGAAGAGTTGGGATGGAAATGAGGGAAAAACCAGAGGCAAGGCTGTGCAGATCAGTTTTGTGGTACTGCCTTACCTGAGCTCCATCTCAGTTTCCAGGCTTTCTATCTGCTTGGATATGGAGAGATCCACCTCTGGGCACTGCAGCTCTGCCAGGCAGTAGGTCCTTCTCTGAGGAATTGCAGCCAAGGGAAAATAGGAGAGGAAATGACACCTTTAGACAGCCCAGCACAGAGGAGTAGCTCTCTCCAGGGCTGCAATTCCAGGGTTCCTTCCCCAGGCACAAAGCCTTTGGTAAGGGGGTGACCCAATCACAGCCCTCACAGTCACTGAGGTGGGAAAAGCCCTTGGAGGTAGAGTCCCACCATTCACCCAACACTCCCAGGGCCACATCCACACCTTTCTGGGACACTTCCAGGGGTGGTGGTTCCACCTCTGAGGATCTCAGTAACCCCAGTGCTGCTGAACACCCCGAGGGCTGGGCCTCTCCCCTCACCCGGAGCTTTGGAGGGGGGTTTTCCCCGGAATCTTTCTTCTCCTTGAGCTGCTGCAGCTCCTGGGCCAGGATCTTCCTGTCCTCCAGCAGGTCCGAGAGGTGCCTCCGAGCCTCCTCGGTGCTCACCAGAACCTCCACCTCGTTTGCCAGCCAGCTCTGCAACAGGAACCCCACCGGGAGAGGGTTTAGTGGAGCCTCAACCGCAGGACTGAGCGCTGCTCGGGGTAGGGGTTTCAGAGCCACGGAATAAATAATCCCTCTGCAGCTCCCTGTCCCTCCCCTCCCTGTTCCTCCCCTCCCTGCTCCAGCCCCAACCCCAGCACCCCCCCTGAGCCCCCCAGTGCCAGTTTCCCCCCTGCTGGGATGACAAACACACTGTCACCCACCTTCACTCGGGCAGCCACTCCTTCCAGGCCCCGGCTCTGGCTCTCCTTGCGTTTGTCTGCAGCCTCCTTCTGTCTCTGCAGGGCGTCCTTCAGCCGCTTGTTGGCAGCTGCTGCCTGCAAAACATCCCCCAGGAGCTCAGCAGCAGCTCTGGCACCTCACCTGCAACAGCTGGAAAACACCAGGGAGTGCCAAGCCAAGGCACTGGGACAGTGAGAGCACAGGGGGAATGAACCAGAAGCACCAAGTCAAAGCCTCCAGTCCTTGACTTATTTCCTCTGCTGAGATTCCTGGTTTAAGGAGGAACTGCTTCTAGGCCTAAGAAGTAGAAGAAAACATCCCAACTGAGGGTTGCAAGATGCATTTCTTTGACACAACCACTTAGAAAGGATTTTGAACTGCAATCTAATATATCCAGGCCCAAATTCATTTCACACTTAAGCCTGGCCAACTGTAATGGATTTGCAGAGCAGCCTGATGCCCAGAGTGGAATTTAGCCCTTAAGGAGCAGATTTAACCAGGATCCCTCAAAGGCTATGAGACAGAAACGTGGCTTTCTCTGCAGGGAGGAAAGCTCTTATTTCCATCCCCTAAGCTGCCCTTAAGAGGTCTGTGCATGTCCCATCACATCCTGCAGCCCCCTGTGCAGCCCCTGGCATTGCTCAGGGCTTTCTGTGGGACGTGGCCCCCTCACCTCCTCTGTCTTGCGCCGAAGGACATTGGCCTGTTTCTGGAAATCCCTCTCCAGCTTGAGGAGCTCGTACTGTCTCTTCCGATCCTGCAGGGAAACAGCACGGAAACAGATGGAAAAGTGCCCTGGGCTCCACAGTTTCCATGGCAAAGGTTCTGGAGCCTAAAGGCTGGATGAGGCTGAAGCCCACAAGTTCATCCCAGAGCACTGAGGGGTAAGAACAGCTGTGGGATCAGAACTCCAGATGTTTGCTGTCCCTTACACTGGGTGCCACAACCCAGCTGGATTTCCTGAACCTGGCAGATTCAATATTCCTTTGAAACTTTAAATACCTCCCATTCTGGGGCCAAACCCTACAACTTAAAATACTTCAAATACTGAATATTTTTGCCTTCTGCCTCAGAGCTGAGTCACAACTGTGTCAGCATCTTCAGGATCTCCAGCCACAAGTCCATTTACAACAACTGGCGAAAAGTGGCAGCCTTATGAACCAACCTTCTCCTCAAAGCATTCCCAGTTGGTTTTCAGTTGCTTCAAGCCTTGCAGCAAGCACTTGACTGATTTGTCTTACACTTGGGAGGGCGGTACGGTCTCGGGGGGGTTGTTTGCTCACCTTTTCCTTCAGCTGGATCACTTCCTTGTCCTTCTTTTGCTTCCACTGCCTGAATTTCTCAGTGTCTTCCTTCATCTGCCGCATCAGCTGGACCCTTTGGTGCTTCATTTCCTGAAAAATACAAGAGGTTGGATGACCTGTCCAGGATTTACATCCTGGGGAACTTCAACCTGCATTTCCCTTGTGTCTGTCAGGTGGGGGAAGTGGCAGGTGGGAAATCTTAAGTGTGCTCCCCCTCAGGACACTCTCCAAGTGCTAAAACCCAGGGATTCATTTTTTAAGGCATAAAGATGCACAGTTTAGGGAAATCAAAGTGAAGCCAAGTGATTTGACTGAGTCAATAAGTTATTAGAAGAGCCAGAAGACCCTTTGCACTTATTTTACCCCTCCAAATCTCAGCAGTCACCTGCCTATTGTGCTCCCCCAGGCACATGGGGAAAGGAACCGTGCCCAGAACTGCTGCTCTCGGTGTGGCAGAGCAGAAAGGGAGCTGTGTCTGTGTGGGAGCTGCTGTGTCTGCCCTGGGCAGTCAGGATGGGTTACCCTGATCTCCTGGTTCAGTTTGGACACCGTGCGTTCCGTGGATTCCTTCAGCTTCAGGAGCTTGGACTGCTCATTCAGCTTCTTCCTCAGCTCACTGATTTGTCCCTCCAGCTCCTGGAGCCTTTTCCGCCGCCGCTCGCTCAGCCTGGGGAGAAACCACCCTTAAAAACCACTAGCACCCTCCAATGTCAGAGACACCTGAGCGAAGGTTGAGCTAAATGGTGTGTTATCACCTTCCCTGCTGCTGAAAGCCCACAGGAGGCTGCTCTGCAGCTCATCCTGGCACGTCAGAGGGACACACTGACATCAGTAAGAGATTTTATAGACAGAAGTACAAGACACTGGATTTTCAGGCATAACAGTCACACTCACTTGGCCTGGTTGATATCCTTCTTTGCCATGTGCAGAGCAAGGACCAGCTCCTCCTTTTCTTTTTGCAAATTGCTGACCTCCAACTCCAGATCCTTGATATTGGTCTAGGAAGGACAAGATTAGTCAGCCTCCAAAGAAAAGCCTTGAAAATACACTCTGAGACAAAGCTTTAGGACAGAGAAACCTTGAGAACCCACAGTGCTACCAGCAGACTGATAAACCTTATCTAAGAGCAGTGAGAGTGTCACAAGGGCTGGTTCAGACACTGAAGCTTTGGTGGGTCACAGAACCACTGTGCCAAGGGATTATGGAGTAACTCCAGAGATGGGAGAGCCCAGCACAGCAGGGGAAGCTGCCCAAGGGAGCAGTGACCCAGCTGAGGAATAAACAGACCCAAATCAGAACATGCTCAGGAGAGGATGGATCCCCTCCCTTCCCTCCCCAGCACGGAGGGCCAGCAATCATTGGGAAAAAGGAACTGAACAAGGATGTCAAGTTTACCTGGTACTGGGACTGAATGGGCTCCAGCTGATTATCATTCTGAGCCATTTTTTTGGCAAGTGCCTCTTTCAGGGTCAGGGCTTTGTTGAGCTCCAGCAGCTCCTTGGACAGCTGGGCCTGGCGAAGGGCGTGTTGGGTGGTGAAGTCGTTCGAGGCTCTCTTGGAATCCTGGCCCAGTTCTGCTTCCTGGAGGAGACACAAAGTGAGCAGGAGAGGCCAATCCAAAGCTCTGGAATGACAGGATCTCAGACCCTGCAGAGCACTTTGAGTTCATTGGTTACACTGGGTATTCAGAATGAGAGCAGGTTATGGATCTGGAACACACTGAGCAATTGAGAGTTTTAAAATCCAGCTCCTACAAGAGTGACACGTTATTTATCAAGCATTTGGATTAGAAAACGAGCATGAGGGAACAGATAAAAGTGATGAGGAGATAAAAACCTGCACTGCTGAGCCCCCCCCTCACTTACACCTGTAGCCTCCTGTTCAGGGCTTGCCACCTCTGCAGCAGCTTCTGCTGTGGCAGCTTTTTCACTCTGCAGAGGACAAAGAAAAGAAGATTTTGGTGAAAAGGGAAGAAGAAGTAAAATGAAGCTGAAAACAGTCTGTTGGTACATTATGACAAAATATAATGAGATTCTGCTCTGGTCAGAATGCTCTGGAAAGGGAAGACCATTGTCTTCCTCCTTTTATAGTGACAAAATTCCTCCTGGACTGGTTGGACAAGCCATTCCTCACAGCCTTCCCTGAATTCCAGCCTTGGCAGCAGCTGAGTCTGGGAAGGGGGGAGTGTCTAAGGACCTCAATGAGACAAAGGTCTGGCAACTTCTACTTAACAATTTCAGGTCCCTGCAATTTGTGTTGTTCATTAAAACTACCAAGTTCGTAACGCTCCATCCAACTTATGGATTGTGAATCCATGCTGATCTCCCACTATCAGAATCTTTTATGGAGATTCTTCTCCCACAAGTGGCCTTTCTGCAGCATTAAAAGAACAACAGGACAGTTTTTAAGTGGATATTAAGTCACTTCATGCTTAGAATTCCTGGGCTCCTTGAGCAAAGTCTCTGCAGAGCGGAATCCGCCGCTGAGCAGATCAGCAGAAGAATCCCAGATTTCACCAGAAAACTTGTGGAACACACAGCTCCTCCCTCCCTCCCTCCCTGGATCCAGCCTTACCTGGAACTCAGCCAACACCTGCTGCAGGTTACGAATCACCTCCACATTTTCCTTCAGCTCCTCATCCTCCACTGTCTCCACCAGCTTCTGCAGGTCCAGCTTGCACCTGCAGTGCACACAGGGGAGCAAATCCAGGGCTGTTCATTCCAGTGAGGAACAACCTTCCCCACACAACATACCAATGAATTCTGGGTGAACAAACACCAGTGGTTTGTATCCAGTTCATCCCATTTAACTGCCCACAGGAGGAGGGTGTGCACACACTTACACAGCGTGTTGCTGGAGCTGCTCCAGCCTGGCATTCATCTTCTCATTTTCTTGTTCTGTCTGAGGGAAGGCAGAATGACACTGAATTGCAGAAGCAAGGTAAGAAGCCAGGAATCAATTAATTAATTTGCACCAAAAGAAATCTTGGCAGTGTGTGGCAAATCAAGGCACTGAAAGGTCCTGCATGATCACAGCCACCAGTTTGTTCAGATTTAACAGCATTTTTCAGGAATGTACATGACAATACAAGCAAAACAGGATGGAAAAGAGAGAGCACAAGTGTGCAAGTGCTGGGATTAAAAGCATTACAGCAACAGAAGAGCCGAAAGATCCATGCCTCCTTTTCTTTACTGAAGTTACAGATCTATAGGCAGTCAGGTTCTGGCAGACTTTTGGTTCTGACTGACTTGAAATCAATGTGAAAGGAACATTAAAGAGAGATTGCCAACATGCCATTAGTGCAGGACCTGCTTAAAGCTCTCCTTGGTAACTGGACCTTACCAGGATCATCCTCTCCAGCATCTGTGCTGTCTGCCCAGCAGCCTCACTCAGCCCCTGGCTCAGCTTCTGGTTCTCCTCCATCAGGCACTGGTTCTTCTCCATCAGGGACTGCAGGTTCTCAGAGGGTGCCAGGCTACTGAAACAGCAAGGACCCTTTGGTTGAGAACATGGCTTTGCCAGAGGTTTGGAACAGCACAGAAATCACCTCCAAGCTCCCTAAATAATTTACAGTGAATATCCCAGAATGGTCTGGGTTGGAAGGACCTTAAAGATCTTTTATTTCCAAACCCACTGCCACGGGCAGGGACACCTTCCACTATCCTAGGCTGCTCCAAGCCCTGTCCAGCCTGGCCCTGGACACCTCTAGAATATAGGATGAACCTCCAAATACAGGTTAAACTGCATGTACTGGGTTTTGAAGCATCCTCAGATGACAACAACTACACAATCCATCTCCTTCCTGCATCTGGTGCTTTTAAGAACAATGGGGATGGAGGTGCCCCACATTTAGGGGTAGGGGGGTGAATAAAAGAGGCATGAATGGGTCTGAGAAATGTTTACTTAGGACGTGTTGCCTGGTTCCTCTCATATTTCCTGCAAGGGATGTTTGCAGTCTTAAGGGGTTTGCTACAAGGTGAAATGACCTGTGGAATTCCAGTAACCACGACAAAAAGAACAAAAAGAGAGGGGAAAAAAGCAACCAGTTTGCTCTCCCCTCATTGCACAGCACTGCCTGGAGCAGAGGAGATCCAGAGGCTTTTCTGTGCCACACACCAGATACTTGAGCATTGAACAAGAAATCTTACTTGATAGACACAGGGAGGGTCCCTCCATGGGCCTGCAGCAGCAACACCTGCAGCTCTTGGACCTGGAAAGACAAATAATTCCTGCTTGTAAATCTCTCCCATAAAGTGACTCGATGGTTGAAGGAACACCCTTCAGATCCTTGGTCTTCCTGAGTCACCTGCTCCATCATTCTGTTTTGCCACTGCCTGAGGACAGCAGCCATGGTGCTCCAGAAGTTCAAGTCATTCACTGCTAAAATAAAAGCTGCCTTCTTTTCCCTCTGGAGTGACCAAAGGAACACTCTCATTCCCACTCTGTGCTGGGCACAGGCAGGAGATGTCAGGAGGGCACCAAACCATCCCTGTGTTTCTAATTTTGCCTTTAGCCTGGGCAGGCAATGATTTGTTGAGTGAAAGGGAAATACAAATCACACCCCCCCTTTTTGTCTGGCATTGAATGGCTGCTGTAACATTCCAGAAGTGCTCTCACATTCCCTTTCCAGCCCCCAGAGAAATGCATATCAAACATGTCCTGCACACTTCCCCTGCTGGCTCCTGAGCTCAGAACTGAGAGGACAGACCCTCCCCCCAGGGGGAAGCCCCCCAGCACCTGCTGCTTGAGCTGGTGCAGCTCAGCTGCCTGGGGATCCACGTTGACAATGGGTTTGTTCTTGATCTTCCTGGCCCTGTCAGCGTAGCGCAGAGTGTTGAGGGTCTCCTCCAGGTTGGAGTCTGCTGGGCTCACACAGGCAATCATCAGGGTGTGGCTGTTCCCTCCCAGCGAGTCTGCCAGGGACAACGAGGGGTGAGCAAAGCTTGCAGAGAGCCAGGGTGGCCAGGACACCCCACCCTTGGGACACTAAAACCCCCCGAGTGTACCCCTAAAATACAACATCCAGCTGTAGGTTTGGGTCACTGTCATGACTTTCTCCTCTGCCCAGTCAGTTCTGTAGCAGAGAGGTTTTCTGAAGGCCAAAAAACACCAAAGATTTCACCTCAGAAGCCCCACTAATGTCACTGCCCTGTTAAGTAATTCCTTTATGCCATTTCTGGCCTTGTTCTTTCAGGTTTTCCCCTCCCTTCTCCCACCTAATAACGCTCAAGACCTCCATGAATATCCAGACATCAGAATTCTCTTCAATTTAAGGAATTATTGGCTAAGAACTGCATGGCCTTTCATCCTTCAGTTTTACACTAATACACACTGGCTACTTCAAGTTACTGATCAGAAAAAGGGGCCCCACATGCAGCAAAATCCAGTTTTTAATTAGGGACTCTGAGATATGGAAAACACTGAAGAGTTTTTGTGCCAGATTATTTAACTACCATAAACATCCCAGTAAGTTCATTACCAAAGCTGTGCCCATGTGAAAGGTTAATTCAGATAAATGTATTAAAATGCCATCACAACTATTGAAAAGCAAGCACCACAAAGACCAGACATTCAGAATAAGAAGCAAATCAAACACGAGGCTCCCAGGGAAGGCACAGACAGCTTGAGCTTCATTCTGGCTGTGACATCATCCAGTAAGTTGCTATAATTAAGGTACAATAATAGATCTCTGCTCCCAGACTTGGCTTCTCATCTTCCCCACCAAAAATATGCTCTGAATTTGTCTCGTTTCCTCCTGTCATAGAAACTGCAGGAGAGCAGGACTCATTTAGGAGCTCATCTCACTGCATTTTCAACCTAAAAATAAAGAGTTCAAGAGAGGTCTGGCTTCAGGGAGAAGAGGAACTAAATAAATGAATCCCTCTGCCAGCAGCAGCTCCTGCCCTGAGCTCTGGTTTGGTGGCTGTTGGGTTTTCTCCTGCTTTGTTTAAGGTGCATCCTGTTATTTAAAACACAGATTTAGGCTTTGCCATCACCTGCCTCTTACCTTGCAGCAGCCTTGTCAACTTGGAGTCTCTGTAGGGGACAAAGCCACCCTTTTTGTTCTCATCTCCAAGAGCACTGATGACGTTCCCCAGGGCGAGGAGGCCTTTGTTGATGTTGATCCCTGCAAACAGATCCCAGTGAGCAGAGCTAAAAATAATAAATGTAAGAGGGTTCAAAAAGGGTATTGCAAGGGTTAAAGAACTGCCTTGCTCTTTTATTATCTCCAAAGTGATTGGAAACCCAGGCTCTGCTGATCCTTTGCCCACAGACCTTCTTTTAGTCTGTCTCCCTCAGCCTTGGTCTTCTTCTGTCTCTCAGAGCCAGCAAGGTCCACCAGGTGTAGTTTGGAGTGAAAACTGCAGTTCCTGTGGCAGAAATACATTATTTTATCTCTCAGCAAGGTGCAGTCAGGAAAGGAGCAGCCCAGGAGCTGAAATACCAGAGACAGACACACAACAACTGCCTCGAGGAGCTCAGAGCAGGACCAAGAACAGGATTATGGAATTTTGGGCAGGTAGCTCCCAAGAGCTGCTGGGAGGGGCTGCACAATCCCACTCACTTGTCGTTTTTCTTCTTCTGGTCGATGCAGATGGTGAAGATGGCGTGGGACCGTGAGGACTGCGAGTTCATGGCCGTGGATCCCACTGTCCTGGCGTTGTTCCCTTGCTCCAGGCAGGACACAGTGTCTTGGGCACAGGTGACATTTCTTTCAGTTAACCCTACAATCTGTAGCCAGGAAAACAGCATTATTCATCTCCTCCTTCCTCCTCATCCCAGCTTAGTCCAGAGAAATCCTCCTCCACCTCAGGCTGTACCAGACCAGGTGAGCTCCGTTCCCAAGAATGTCTCACCTCAAGAGGCCTGGGGTGGATCCCCCCCCGAAAAATCTGTCCTGAATTTCCCATCAGTAACATGAAGTCACATCATCTCTCCTTCCTCCTACTCCTACACACTGCCCCCAAGCTCCTGTGCCTGCCTGAGAGCCAGCTGGGCTCTGGGATCCAGGGAGAAACCAGGGACCCAGGGGAAGCAGCAGCACAAGGATTCTCTGCACTGTGCTATAAACTCACAGCTGGGCAAAACTGCTGAGAAAATCTCTTGGGGCACTGCAAGTTTGCCCTCAGGATCCCCTTTCTGCACCTTGACATCTGCCAAGTGAGGAGCAGGAGGGCAGCAGGGATTGGAGTGAAGGGGCTCAAAGGACAACAACCTCAGACATTCACCTCAATCACCATTCAAAGGGTCAGAGCAGCACGTGCAGGTGGCTTTGTCATGAACACCAGACCCTCTTGGTGTTGCCCTGAGTGAAGTTCAGGCTCAGGAGCCCCGTTTTGAGAGCAGGGAGTGGCTGTGCTGACTCCCTGGGCAGTGTTCAGGGAGTCAGGCAGTCGTGCCACCAGCACACTCCTCCCCAGCCCTGCCACCCCCCATGCCCCCACATCCCACAGGGCAGCAGACCTTGATGCCCTCCTTGGGGTCCTCCCTGATGCTGATCTGGGAGGAGCGTTCCCTCGAGGGGCACAGCAGGTCCAGGATGTCCTCGTTGTAGATCTGGAACAGCACAAGAGCAGCTCAGAGTTACCAGCCTTGCAGGAGGACAATCCACCAGAGAAAGGGGTGGTGATGCTGGAATCAGGGCTAATCTGGCATCACATTCTACTCATTTCACCTTTACAGGAAAATATCTTGGATAAGACTCAGTTTCTGGAGCTTTATGTGTTGATTTATTCTGTATTTATTACTTGGAGGAGGAGGCCCCAAAGCTCAGTTAATTCAAAACTTGATAACAGTTTGAGAACCAAAACTTTTACCTCGAGATAAGAAACTTTGAGGACAAATTCCCAATCCTGCCTTTGCTGCTTCTCCTCAAAGAGCAGCCTGATGACCCTTGGGATGACCCCCACGCTGGGCTCGTGCTCCTGGGTGGCCGTGTAGGTGCCTCCCATGGAGTAGGTTTTCCCAGATCCAGTCTGTCCATAGGCCAAGACAGTGGCATTGTACCCTGGGGGAACAAAGGCCACAGGATCAGTCACGTGGGAACCACAGGAGACCTGGAACAAAGCTGGGAAAACTGTCCTTAAAGAAAAGTGTCAGTTCACACCAGCTCCAAACACAGTCAGGGAAAATGTCAATGAAAAGCCCCTCAAAACACAGATAAAATTATTATTTCAGCTGTTTTTAAAGACTGGTTGTTGCTTTACTAGAGCTGGCCAGCAACAGCACAGGTTCTGTCATCCACTGTCACCCACTGCAGCACCAACAGCTCCTGGGATGGGCTGAGCATCAATTCACTGTGTGATTTCAAAGATGGAGAGACTTTTTACAAGGGATGGAGGGACAGGACACAGGGAATGGCTTCCCAGTGCCAGAGGGCAGGGTTAGATGGGATATTGGAATAGAATTCTTCCCTTTGAGGGTGGGCAGGCCCTGGCACAGGTTTTCCAGAGAAGCTGTGACTGCCCCATCCCTGGAAGTGTCCAAGGCCAGGCTGGACAGGGCTTGGAGCAACCTGGGCTGGTGGAAGGTGTCCCTGCCCATGGCAGGGGGTGGGACTGGATGAGCTTTAAGGTCCCTTCCAACCCAAACCGTCCTGGGATTCGATGAAAACCCTCTCCCTTAAAAGAAAAATCCTCCAGGGACCTTCAGGCCCCGAGGATCCCCCACCCCTCACTCTGCGCAGCAGAACCGGCGGCAGAGGGCCCAGATTTGGCACAGACCTTTGAAGATGCCTCGGACCAGAGGAGACACCGCAGTGTTGAAAACCTCCTCCTGCTCCGCCGAGGGGTCGAACACGTAATCGTAGGTGAAGGACTTGTCCTTGCCCACCACGACCTGCGGACGGGACGGGCCGGGCCGGGCGGGGCGGTCACAGCGGGCCCGGGTAGGGGGTGCGGGAGGGAGGGGGGTGCGGGTGCCTCACCTGCGGCTCGCCGGGCACGAAGAACAGGCAGCTCTGGCAGCCCTCGCTGCTCTCGCGGGGCACGAGCGGCCGGCAGCGCAGCGCCACCCGCACCGGGATGCCCTTGTCCTCGTCGCGCTGCATCGCCGGCCCCGCGCGGGACGGGCCCGGAGCGCCGGCACGGGGGACAGCGCCCGGGACCACGCGGGCCCAGGGGACGGGCTGGGGAGCGATCGCAGCGCGGGCGGTGCCGCGGAGCCCCCGAACCCGCCCGGAACCGCCCGGAACCGCCCGGAACCCCCTCAGAGCCCGCCCGGAGCCGCCGCGCCCGCGATGGCCGCGCCGCAACGGTCGCGACTCAAACTGGCCGCGCGAGCAGACGGCCAATCAGAGAGCGGTGCGTCACCGACGGGCCAAGTGCGCACCAGTCACGACGCGATGCGTCACTGCGGGGCGTAGAACAACCAATCGCCGATCAGGGAAGCGGGAGGCGGCGGGGCGGGCGGAACGCCGGGCCAATGGCGTGGCCGTGCGTGCCCCGGCGAGGGGCGCGGCCAATGGGAGCGCGGTGCGCGCCGCCCGAGCCGGCGGCCATGGAGCCCCGCGCGCCCTACGACGACTTCCCGGTGGTTTTCCTGCCGCCCTACGAGAGCCCGCCAGCCTGGGTCCCGCCGCACCAGGTGAGGGGTGAGAGGGGTCCCGCCGCACCAGGTAAGGGGTCAGGGGTCCCGCCGCACCAGGTGAGGGGTGAGAGGGGTCCCGCCGCACCAGGTGAGGGGTGACAGGGGTCCCGCCGCACCAGGTGAGGGGTCAGGGTCCCGCCGCACCAGGTGAGGGGTGAGAGGGGTCCCGCCGCACCAGGTGAGGGGTGAGAGGGTCCTGCCGCACCAGGTGAGGGGTGAGAGGGGTCCCGCCGCACCAGGTGAGGGGTGAGAGGGGTCCCGCCGCACCAGGTGAGGGGTGAGAGGGGTCCCGCCGCACCAGGTGAGGGGTCAGGGGTCCCGCCGCACCAGGTGAGGGGTGAGAGGGGTCCCGCCGCACCAGGTGAGGGGTCAGGGTCCCGCCGCACCAGGTGAGGGGTGAGGGGTCCCGCCGCACCAGGTGAGGTCAGGGTCCCGCCGCACCAGGTGAGGGGTCAGGGTCCCGCCGCACCGGGTGAGGGTGAGAGGGTCCCGCCGCACCAGGTGAGGGTCAGGTCCCGCCGCACCAGGTGAGGGGTCAGGGCCGGGGGGGCCGCCCGGGGGTCCCGGTCCGGCCCCGGCTGAGCTGTCGCGTCCCCGCAGAGGGTGTTTCACCCCGACTACAACAACGAGCTGACGCGGTTCCTGCCCCGCACCATCGCCCTGCAGAAGCCGCCCGGGGCGCAGGTGAGACCCCCGCGGGGGATGTCGGGCAGGGGGAGCTGCCCCAGGGCGGGGGTCCCGGGAACGGGAGGTGGGAGGAAGGGGCTGGGGCTGCTTGGGGGCTTGGAACGGGAAGAGAGATCGGGATCCATCTGGGAGAGAGGGAGGAGACCTGGGAAAGGGAAGGGGCCTGGGAATGGGAAGGGATCTGGGAATGGGAAGGGTCCTGGGAATGGGAAGGGTCTTGGGAAGGGTCCTGGGAATGGGAAGAGTCCTGGGAATGGGAAGGGTCCTGGAAATGGGAAGGGTCCTGGAAATGGGAAGAGTCCTGGGAATGGGAAGGGTCCTGGGAATGGGAAGGGTCCTGGGAATGGGAAGGGTCCTGGTGGCTGCCTTTCACTGCTGGTCTTTCCCACAGTTGGGCTTCAACATCCGAGGAGGAAAAGCTTCCCAGCTGGGGATCTTCATCTCCAAGGTGTGTCCATCCCCCCCTGGATCCTGCTGTTCCCTGGGGAGCTGCTGGGTGTGCAGGGGGCTCTGAGCTGCCCCCTCCACCCCCCAGCTCCTGCTGGGATTTCCACACTCGCCCCCTCCCGTGGCCCTGCCCAGTCCCGTCCCATTCCCAGCCCCGGGAATTGCCGGGAACGAGCCTTCCCTGCCCCCTGTGCTGTGCCCGGTGGGTGCCGAGGGGCTGTGGGAGGGGCAGTGCCCATCCCGGTGCCCCCCTGTGCCAGGTGATCCCGGACTCGGACGCGCACAGGGCGGGGCTGCAGGAGGGGGACCAGGTGCTGTCAGTGAACGACGTGGATTTCCAGGACATCGAGCACAGCAAGGTGAGCTGGGGCAGGGGGGGCACCCAGGCCCTTCCAGCCCCTCCTGCCCTGCCCAGCCCTGCCCAGCCCTTGTTTTCCAGGCCGTGGAGATCCTGAAGACGGCGCGGGAGATCACGATGCGCGTGCGCTACTTCCCCTACAGTGAGTGGGGCCGGGGCTGCGGGGACAGCACCTTCCAGCCATCCCTGCCACCTCCACCCGAGTCTGGCAGGGCACAGACAGGGATCTGGGGTCAGGCACCACCTCGGGACAGTCAGGGGAACTGGGGGAGCGGGGCTGAGCCACCCCGTGCTGGAAGGGGGGATGGTGGGGAAGGACAAAGGTAATTTAGGGCTCCAGAAGCAGCTGATTGTCCTGGGATAGCACAGGAATGAGCTTGGCACCACTGCCAGTGCTGGGTACCCCTCCCTAGGGATGCTGGAATGGTGAGTGAAGGGAAGGTCTGTGTTCACTCCCAAGTTCTGCTTCTGCTCCCATAAAGTTCCAAGATTTAAGGGATAAGAGATCAAGCCAAGCCAAACTGGGATTCTTTCTGAAACGGAAACTGGCCACAAAAAGGAAAATATGGAGTGGGGGAAGAGAGGACTTAAACCCAAGTGTTGCTCTCAGTGCCCTGACAGTAGGTGTTTGCTGCCCCTGGGGGTGGTTCCCTGTTCTCAGGCTCTGCCTCTCCCCCAGATTACCAGCGGCAGAAGGAACGGACTGTTCACTAACAGGGAGCTCTGCTGGGGCTCCTCCTGCACAAACCTCTCCTGCTTTCCCACCTCCTGAGATGGCCCAACACGTCCAGCTCCCACTGCAGGCACAGCTGTTGTTGGGATGGAAAAGCACGAGGGGCTGAGGCTCCTGAGCAAAGCAGGGACCTTGTCCTCCATGAAATCCCCCTGTGCCCTTCTCTCATGCCATGGAATTCTTTCTTTCTCCTCTGTCCCACCTCTGCTCTGCTCTGCTGAGTTTGCTGGGGGATCCAGGAGTAAAACCCACCCAAACTCCGTGCCCAGCTCTGGCTGCACTGGGCTCCTTGTGCCTCTGTGCTGGGAATGACCCCGGGATACAGGGCTGGGGTGATTGGAAATGTTAATTATAAGCAAATGTGGGTGCCAATGCCTGCTGGGATCATGTTTAATGGCTTCAGGACAGCCCTGGCTTTGCCCTTTTCTTCCTTGTGGTGTTTTTCATTTCATCTATAAAAACAATAAAATGAGTAGAGCAGCCCAAATTCCCACTCAGGAAGTCTGTGTGCAGGATTGTTCATTCTCACCTTCAGAAAATGCTGGGACAAGGCTCGGCTCCAGCCTGCAGGAGAAAATCTGGGATCCACAGGAGGTGCAGCTCTGTTTCAGGGTGTTTATATCCACTGACTGTGCTGGAAGTCAGCCCTGATTAACCTGGAACATGTTCCAGCACTGCAGGAAGGAGCAGGAGCTGCTCTGGGGGGTTTATCCATGGTGGCACCATCACAACTCCAGCACTGCCTGGGGCAGGACCCTGAGGGGCAGGAAATACACTAGAAAAGAGACTTTCACTCAGAATTAAAAATTAGTTTTTCTACCCAGGAAATGAGCACCCTGGAAGCCCCACTGTGAGACCCGAGGGAGGCAGGGTGGGAGCTCTTCTGCTGCCACAGGTCTGTGTCCCATGGGATATTCATCTCTCTGGTCTCACACCGTTTCCCAGCATTCCCATGTTTTTTGGGGAAGGAGGAGTTCTCTCCACAGGGAGCTGCAAATACAACCCTAATGTTCAATTTGTTCATCCTTCAGAGTAATCCCTGGCAGGAGCTCCAGGAAGGTCTCCCCTGCCTTGGGCAGCTTCCTCCCTTTCATTACAGGGAATGACTCAGGAGCTTCCCTGCCAACCCTGGCTAACAGGAAAGAGAGGATTCTTCCTTGGGTATCTTAATTATCAAAGCATTAAGGCCATCACAGTCCATTTCATCCTCCAGAACTCGAGGGACAAAGGGGCAGTTTGTGATTCCTGGTGGGAAAACAACAGCTCCGGCAACACTGGATTTTTTTAGTGACTTACAAAACTGAGGCTGAGAGGCAAACTGCAGAATCATGGAATGGTTTGGGTGGGAATTGCCTTCTAGCAACAAGTAATTTGTCTTTCCAACCCCTGGCCATCACTCAGAGCTCGCTGGCTGCTGTTTCACGGATTAAATCTCCTTTCTTGCTGAGCAGGCTTGAAAGTAAACAAAGATCAAACATCAAAGAACAGCCTTTCTTAGGAAAATTGTTACATATTCCACATCTTGCAAACACGTCAGCAAAGTCCTTCCAGCTATCTCTTCTCTGTTCCTCCTGTTCCTCCTCCATCCCTCCTCCTCTTCCGTCTGTCTGTCCTTCCTCCTTCTTCTCTGCTCCTCCCTCCTCCACCATCCCTCCTCCTCCTCCTCTACCATCCCTGCTCCTCCCTCTTCTCCTCCCTGCCCTGCTCTGTTCAGGCAGCTCGCGGTAAATCCCCCGTGGCACCAGGCGAGCGCGGGTGTTGGTGAAATAACTTTATTTATTGGTTGTGATACAGGGCTGTGTCAGACAGTCCATACTCAGAGTAATAATCACACGTACTCGCTACAGCTACGAGACAGCGGGGCCGACACACACGGCATTGAACACACCAGAGAGGACAGAGGGAAGGGAACTATTCATTTCACTAATTACCCCCACCCCGTCAGTGGGGTCTCCCCCCTCCCTCCCCGCTCCGCGACTCCAACAACACGACAGGGGGGGCAGCGGGGCCGCCGCGGGGGGGACAGCAACACACAGGGACACAGCGACACCAGCGATCCCAACGGGTATGTACAGGGACAGGGACAGGGATCCGCCTCCCGGGGGCACAGGGGACACTCCACAGGGAACGGGGAACCACAGCCCAGCCTCCTCCTGCAGCCCAGCTCACCCCGAGGGAAGGGACAACCTGCCATCCCAGGGACTGCCAGATCCCAGCCCCAGCTGCCCCTTCCCCTGCTCAGGGCCCGTGGGCTCCACACACGGGGTCAGGGACAGCCTGTGCTCAGTCCCTCTCCTGCCACCAGCATCCTCCCGGTGACACAGCCCGGGAGGAGAGGGCAGTGAAATTCTCCTCTCTGCCAACTGACAAACCTCCTGACTTCTGTTAGGACACATGGACCCAAAAACCCCACTAAAAGCTCTGAAAAGCTCTGAAAACCAGGGACAGTGGGGAGAGGAGGCATTTCCCAACCTCCAAGGTTGGGAAATGACCCCAGAATTCCCTTCAGCAGCAGACAATCCCCCATTCCTGCACCCACTCTGACAGTCACTCCCTGCTCCCCTCAGCCCTCAGGAGTGAAAGGGTTGGTGGCCCCATCCCAGAGTTCTGCTCCAAAGGCAGAGGCAGCTGGGTGGGATCCCATCAAGCAGCAACCTGGGAATAAGAGTGGAATGCTGCCCTTCCATCTGCTGTGGCTCTCCTGCTCCAGAGAAGCAGTTCCCCATCTACAGGACGAGGAGAACAGGAGAATGGAGTTCAGGAAAGGAGCCTGAGCCAAATCCATGACTGCCAGGACAGGTATTGCCCCAGCAGTGCTGGATTTCAGGTCACTGCTTGCTTTCAGAATCCCTGAGGATCTCTCCCCACCCAGCCTTACGCTGCAAAGCCTCTGTTCCCTCCTCCTCCTTCCCTACACCAACACTCACCAAGCACCAACGTCCTCTGGATGGGAAGGGATTCCAAGCGAGGAGAGCAGGCTGTGGGATGTCTCTGTTACACAGACAGGAGCAACAAGGCCAAAGCTTTCAGAGTTTGGGGCTTTCCAGTGCTGTGTGTGACACCAGGGGCAAAACTTGGAAGTTGTGAGCAAGAGTGAGGCAGGGCCATCAGCAGGAAGGAGAAACCACGGAGTTAATGTTGTGTGTGTGCCCTGCAGGAAGCAAAGCCTGGGAACAGGTGACCTGGGCTGTCCAGAAAGGCAAGGCCGAGTCCAAGGGACTGGTTTACAGGAGCAGCCTTCCCAGAGGAAGTGGGGCTGCAGGACAGGCAGGGCAGGGAGCTGGCTGGGATGCAAGGCAGTAGGGAAGGCAGAGAACCCACCCCCAAAGCTTCGTTTCTGTCTTCCCTAACGTGGCGGCTTTTCCATGGCATTCACAAGGTACAGGGGAGCAGGTGGGCTCGAGGTGGGGGAGAGGGGGAGAAGGGGAGGAAGAGAGGGACAGAGAGAGAGAGTGTAAAGGGCACCACGGTGCCAAAGTGCAACAACATAAAAAAATAAACTCAAAAGACAGGACACTCATTCTGCACTCAGGGCTCATACCATGCAGTGAGAGGGGCGGCCGGGGCTGCTCCCCACCAGTAAACAGGGAGGTCGCTCTCAGGAGCTGTTTTCCAGCCCCACATAGGGATGCCTGGGCAATGAGTGATGTTCTCAGGGCATGGCTGGGAGGTGCCGTTAGCAGGAGCACCCGCTCTCCGTGACTGGCTGCTCGGGGGGCTTCTCTAGTTTGATGTCAATCACTGCAGGGGCGGTTAAGGAAATCACCCAGCTGAAGGAGAACAAGAAGGACAGAACAGGGAAAGGGTTGTTAGTGGTCCCCCCATGGTGTTTGAGCAGAGCTTGTTCTGCCTGAACAGCATGCACTGCAAAACCAGGGGATTTGGCGTGTTGAGACCATTTAGAGGAAGGAGCCCAACTGGACAGGGCTGTGCAAACAGAATGAAGAATTACAGCATTTTCAAACTATACAGATTTCATCCTCACTTCAAGTGGAGAAGCAAAACTTGTGCTTTAGTTGCCCTTAGTTGAGTACATTTATCTACAGCCCCATAAACAGGGTCACAGAATCACAGACTGGTTTGGGTTGGAAGGGACCCCAAAGTTCATCCAGTCCAACCCCTGCCATGGGCAGGGACACCTCCCACTATCCCAGGTTGCTCCCAGCCCTGTCCAATCTGGCCTTGGACATTTCCAGGGATGGGGCAACCTGTGCCAGGGCCTCACCACTCTCAGAGTCAAGAATTCCTTCCCAATATCCCATCTAACCCTACCCTCTGGCAGTGGGAAGCTATTCCCCTTTGTCCTGTCACTCCAGGCCCTTGTAAATATTCCCTCCCCATCTTTCTTGCAGGCTTAGGTCTCCCTAAGCTGCTTCTTCTCCAGGCTGAACGATCCCAATTCTCCCAGCCTTTCCTCACAGCAGAGCTGCTCCATCCCTCTGATCAACTTGGTGCCTCCTCTGGACATTCCAACAGCTCCATGTCCTGTTTCAGCCACGTCCCTGCAGAGCCCCATCCCCACAATGTGCCAAAAGCAGTCAGTGAGCCCAATTTAACAAGAGATAACTGGCCAGGTCCCTGGGAAAGCAAGGATACTGTCTTCTTTGCTCTTCTCTGGTGTGCTGTCCATCCCAGGTAAGGCAGCAGCCACACGGCGGAAAAGCTGGAAAGCAGGGAGAGGAAAGCTCAGGGCTTGTCAGAAAAAATGCCTGTTAGAAACTCTGTTTTACAGCAGAACTCTGAGCTGTACCAAGCTCTTTTGTGGGTACTTTAGCAAGCAAAGCAGTGATCAACAGTGCCATAAGAATGCTACCTGGGAAATTTAACAGGTTTTATTAAAGAACTTATTCAGTGCCTGCAAACCAGGCAGTTCTATTTTAGCTGTTTCTGCTCGAACAGAACACGGGATTAATTAGTAACAGTTCTTCCAGGGATTCATGGAACAGCTCCCTCCTGCACTCACTAACCATGTCCCAGCCTCTGCCTCTGCACTCGCTGATGTTCCAGGGCACATCTGGGGATTTCTGATAAGTCACCTCACAAGGTTTAAGGAGTTTTACAGCCCATCCCTTCAGCTCAGTCCTGCTGCCAAACAGCCTTTCCTGGGCAGAACAGCTGGTTCAGATGAGCTGCAGCCAAGCCATTAAGGATGTGCTGGAGCTGGGAAGGACTATTATATCCCCATAAAACCCGGAAAATGGTTTTGCATAATTTCTGGACTCAATGCTTAGAGCTCCTCCTGCTGCCATTACCCGGCCCAGGCACTGCCAGGCTGCCGAGCTGCTGCACAAAGCACTGGAGGAATCATCTGCTAACGACAACTTTCCTCACGGCAGCTTGGCAGGGGCTTCTCATCCACCCCCCAAAGTGTGTTCCTTGAAAAATCAAGGTCCCAGCAAGGTGCTGCAGTTGCATCCTCCTAATCACAGAAGCTCTTGCTGCAAACACCCGCTGGGCAAATAAAGCAACAAGAGTTAAACCGAAGACCAAAGTGGATTCAATCCAAAACAGCCAAAAAAACCCCTAAGCTCAAAGTCTCCTAATCCCACTGTGGGTTCTCCCAACCTGCTGCTGTGCAGCAACCTGAGGAAGGGCTTTTCCAGCTGACACAGATCCCTGCAGGCCCCTGGAGCTCCCAGCTCCTCACTCCAAGCTCTGTCACACTCAGAACAACCCCTGAACTAGTGGAGGGTGGGATCACAAACTTCCAGCAAGAGGCAATGGGCACAAACAGAAATAGGAGAAATTCTGCTTAAATAAAAAATGTGAAGTTGTTGGGTTTTTTTTGTTGTATGGCTCATCATACATCATGGTAGGCTGGCTGGAGAGTCGGTGTCTATCCTTAGAGACATTCCAAACTCAGCTGCAGCCAGCTCTGGGAAGCCTGCTCTGAGTCTGAGGGCTGGAAAAGATGATTTCCAGAGATCCCTTCCAACCTCAGTTATTCTAAGATATTCCAGGATTCTCTGTGGCTTGCAAACAGAAGGAGGAACTACCAGTGATGTCAACAGTGATTTCAGCAAACTGCACTAATTGGTAATAAAACCAAACAAATTCCATCTGACTGGCTGCACAAAACAGGGATTTTCCCCTTCCCATCCTCAGCACATTCTGGGATTGGTTCTCCTTTCTTCCAAGGTTTGCTTAGCTTGGACAGGGAATCACTGACAGGCAAGGAGCCTCCACTGCTACCGTAGAGCTGATGGTGATCACTGGGCAAGAAACATCTCAGGGGCTGGCACTGAACACAAGCAAATCCCTGCTGGATCATGAACCCCAAGCAGGGGCCAACACACACAGAGCAGGGACAGATTCCTGATTTTAGACAGAACACGGATGTACCTGTTTCACATTGTATCCAGTCTTTGCACTGGTCTCAATGAACATCACATTCAGCTCTTTGGCTCTCTGTTCACCTTCTTCTGTAGTGATTTGCCTGCAGAAAGGTGCCAACAGGAGCAGAAAGACAGAAAGGAACAGAAGGAGGAGTTAGAGACATCTGTGACTGAGCTGGTGGTCAGTGCTCACCCCCCTCACAGCAGGCACAGCCCACCAAGGGACACCTCAGGTTCAAAACCCCCAGCTGGGAATGAAAGCACCCCAGGGAACTCCTGGAGTGGTGACAATCAACAGGAGATCATCGGCACAGGGTGGAGTTTGTGCAGCACATTTGAGGCTCTTTCACAGCATCCTGCAGGGAAGGAAGAACCCCCCACACTGCAGTGAGACAGAGTTCCGTTCCCCAAAGCCAACAGAAGGGAACGCTGTGAGGTGACACAGAGACTCCAGAAAGGCTCCAGCAGCAAGGACAGCCTGGGAGCAAGGACCTGGAATTGCATCCCTGAGCACCACCCTGGACATCCCTGTCTCACATTATATCCTGCTTTAGCACCAGTTTCAATTCCATCATATTCAGTTCTGGGGCTCTTCTCTCACCCTCCTCTATAGAAACCTGTCTACAGCACAGAGAACAAACCACAGAGCAGAGCAACCAAACCAGAGAAAAAGAGTCCAAAAATGAGAAAAAGAAAACTGCAGGGGGAAGAAAAAAAAAAACACAAAAAAAACCCAGCCAAAACTGAAGCAACAGTGACTGGAATGAAAAACTTCACAGGCTTCACTGAACAGGAACAGGGCTATTTTTAGTCCAGCTTTCTGGCCTCAGAACTAAACTTGGTTTTTATCAGAGGATGAATGGCTTCCCATACTCTGAATTCTACCTCAAAGGATGTCACCTGTGGCTTTGTCCAGCCTTAACAGGCCCAGCATTTCAGCCTCACACAAACCCAGCTTCCTTTGAAAAGGAACAAGGAGAAACTGTGCCATGAACTCACAGCTGCACATGCACAGGGAGTTGGGCAAACTGGATTAATGAAAATAAGCAGATTTCCTCGCTTTTGCAAAGCAGCTTTTTGGCTTTATCTCAGCATGGAACACAAAATCAGACAAAACAGACTACTGAGAAACAAGGTGTAGAGCTACTTAATTTCAGTGAAAGGGATTTTTTTAGGTGGGTTTATTTTAACCAAAACTATTTGTAGAACAGCAAAAGGGAGTAACTTCTGCTGCAATCAGAAATCTGAATTTCACAACGAGGAATTTCTGTTCCGTTTCAAATCAACAATTGTTAAGATCGTCTCAAAGTAATTTTTAAAGCCAGGCTGGGCAGCCAGTCCTTGCTCTTCCTGGCCAGGGCAGCAGGGCCCAGCTCTCCTCCTTACCTCTTGTCTGCCAGGTCGGTTTTGTTCCCCACCAGCATGATGATGACGTCGCTGCCTCGCTCTGTCCGGACGTCATCGATCCACTTGGAGGTTTGCTGGAAAGAATTCAAGTCTGGAGGGGGAGAACAAATGGGAGTGCTGAGCATAAAACTTCCTTTCAGAGAGGGGCAGCGCTTTGCCTGTGCTCAGGTGCTTCACCACATCCCCCCAAAATTGTTAGAAAAGGGGGAGGAACACCTCTAATGTTAAGGGTGTGTGGCTGCGAGCGCTCAGGAGGGCAGGAGGGGGATTTCAGGGCTGGAGACCCCACAGGCACTCACTTGTGATGTCGTAGACCACGACGGCGATGGTGGAGTCGCGGATGTAGCTGGGGATGAGGCTGCGGAAGCGCTCCTGCCCCGCCGTGTCCCAGAGCTGCAGCCGCACCTGCTGGGACAGCCCGGCCAGGGCACAGAACACACAGCACACACCGGCCTTAGACACGGGGCCACCGCCCGGCCAGGGCACAGAACACACAGCACACACTGGCCTTAGACACGGGGCCACTGCCACAGCCACCCCACAGCCACCCACGGCACTGCCCACACCCACCCCCACACCCCTGCATAATGTGCTTTATCCCCCCCTGCTACTCCCAAACTGCTCTAGGATAAGGCCACCACCTCCTCTGGGGTGTGTGAGGATGCTTCAGTTTGAAGTGTTGGAACTGCCTGGTTTACTTCATGTTCCCTTTGCCAACTGGCACCAACAATTACATGAGAAAATTTTAAAAAACAGGTAAAAATAGTAATTATGTTATATAGATTAATATAACTATAAATAATAATATAAAATTAAAACAGTATAAAATAAAAATAATATGAAATTAAAATATAAAATAATAATATTGAAATACTAATATGAATTAAAATTATTATAAAATAAAATATTAAAATAATATAAACGAAACTAATGGTAAAATAATAATATAAAATAAAAATAATAAGAAATAAAAATAATATAAAATAATAGCAACATAAAAATCAAGTCTCCCTGGTCTACCCACAATTCCGGATCTCCACAGGACTCCAAGCCCGGAGTCCCTCTGAGCAAAGGTTTTGGGGCAATTCCCTCAATCTGAGTGCTGGCCAGCACCCAGGTGATGGCCATGGGGATTTTCATGCGAGATTAAAGCAACCAATAAATTAAGTTCCGGCAGAAATGGAAGCAAATGTTACACACTGCGGGCTCCAGGTGATGGGAAGGGCATTGGGGTCACCCTTCCAGAGCAGCACAGGGGCAGAAAAGGCACAGATGCTGTGAGAGGCACAGTCTGAGCCCCAAACACACTGAGCTATTAGAGGTGGCAGCTCCAAGGTCTGGGACCTGCCCATCTGAACCACAACTGCCCAAAACGTGCCCAATCCCTCAGTGAATCAAAGCTTTTACACTGGGAGTGACACCTTTTCCTTCCAGCCCTCACCCCACAGGGCTGTGCACTGCCAGAAAATAGGATTGCTTGGCATTCCCAAGGACTTTTATGGGGGCAGACACTGCTTCCCAGCTCCCTGACAGGAGCCTGGTCCCAGCGCTGGGGCAGAGCAGCTGCTGGGGCACAGCACTGGTTAATAAGGCAGCAAAAAGCAGCTTCACAAGGACCAATAATTGCTTGTTTAGAAGAGAAATCGAAGCTGATTGAGCCGCAAAGCGCCTGGTTACGCGCAGATTCAAAACAAGATCTTATCTCCATCAGGGTATGTAGATCTGATGCCCTGGGGCTTAAGGAAGCTTAGGAATTCCAGTTAAAGCAATTAGCTCTTGCCTCATCTGGAAGGCAGACTTGATTACAGGAGCAAAAGTTGGAGTTTTTCTCTACCCCAGGAATCTCAAGGTGACAAACTCGCAGCACCAGGGCGGTGTCACTCGGAGCTGGAAGACCAGATGGATCAGCACAGCTCCTGGAATTCCCAAACTTCCCCACGGCCCAAACAGTTATACCGGAATATTCACCCTGAAACTTGACCCAGATGGTGATTTAACACTCCACCCTTCAGACTCACAGGCAAAAAGGCAGTAGAAGCAGCAGCACAGGCCTGGCCCAGGTAATTTGTTTAGTGCAGGTGATGGATGCTCTTTGGGGGGAGGCCTTCAGGACCTGGGCAGAGCCCACACAGACACTCCTGAAGTGACCTGAGTTTGCTGCAATATTTCTGTGGCTTCTCATTTCTACACGTCAGAGTTTGTGTGCACCTCTTTTGGAGGGGATAATACAAATAACCCCCTGGGGAACACTAAGAATTAACCCTTAAAAACAATGTTCAGGAGGGGCCTGAGCTGCAGGATGGACTCTCACCACGGCTCTCTCCACCTGCATTTTGGGATGTCCAGCAGAGCAACAGTAACTAAGCAATTTCTTCATGCCCTCAGAAGTACCTGAGCACGTTCCCAAAGTCCATGAGATCAGCCACCACTGAATTACTTCTGACACGTCTGCAAGACGTTAAGAACAGCCTGGACTGGCAGCATTTTTCCACCTGCCTGGATGAACAGCATCCTGCACCTGCCCAGCAGGAAGAACCGTGCCAAGCTGTGCATCCTGCCACGCTGCCTTCCCCCACAGGGGTCCCAGCACAGTTCAGTGCTCCTCAAACCCCAAACAGGGCAGTTCTGTGTTAGTTTGCACCAATCCAGGAATTCTCCCAGAGAAGAATTCAGCCACAGTACTGGGAGAAAGACCATGTCATCATTGCCCTCAGTGCAGAGGATAAATCATAGCAGAAGTCTGTTATTTGTTAAGCAGTTCAGCCAAGGACAGTGAAACAAACCCCTGCTCCTCACTCTAATCCAGTCTGGGACAGAATAAAGGTGGCCCAGAGGTTTTTCCACCTCTGATGTATTCTTTTCTTAAATTTTGCCCACATGGTGTTGGCTCACTGGTATAAATCCTGACACTGTAGATGAACAAAAAACTCCACCATATCAACTAGAACCAATAACAAGGAGTCACAATGAAATAATCCTGTTCGTATTTTCCTAACTTGAACTAAAACATTCATGTCAAGAGTTACAGAGAATTTCCCTTTAAGCTTGTTTATTCTTTAGAAATTCTGGTAGTTGCCTCTCTCCTCTTTCAAAAGCTGGATATGAATCTCCAGTTCTCTTTTTCAAGGGAATGGGAATCTTGACTCCTCCTAAGTCACTCCACAGCTTCTGTTTGAATGGGTGTTGTGCTGTTTTACCTACTCTGACAGCGTTCCTTTGCTTTCCTCCCTGAAGCTGGTACTTGTATAAATTATATATATTTATTTATTTATTTCTCTAGAAAGGAAAAAAATTAATCCTGAAGAAAAAAAAAAACAAAACAACAAAACACACACACACAAACCCAACAGAAAAATAATAGTTTTCCAAAGGCTTCCAACCACCTGCCATTGCAACCAGCCCAGACACAGCAATTCCCAATCCCTGCTCAGCACTCAGCCAGCACCCACAGTTGGTCTATTTTAGCTCTTTTTGGGTACCACCACCACTTCCAACACATAAAGATCCATGTCAAAAGCAAGGTCCCTGCAGACCTCTGGCTCAATACCTACTTGTGATGCCACAGACAATGAGAGGCACAGCAGAGTCACGGGTGGAGCTGGGGAGGAGGCTGAGGGACCTCTCCTGGCCGGCTGTGCCCCACAGCTGCAGCCTGATCTGGGAAATGGAGAAGTGCAGGGGAAAGGGGAAGGGGGAGAGCAGGAAAACGGAAAACAAAACCAAAACTCAAGTGAAATAAAAATAAAGAAACGAAAAAAAAATAAACTGCGGAGCAAAACTAAGGCAACAAAAGGAAAGGTCAAACGGAACAGAACGGTGGAAAGAGGCAGCGACACAACTGAGCCTCAGTGATCTCAGCACACACAGCCAGCAACGTCCCACACACCTGCACCAGCCACCAAGGTATCCCTAAGGATCCCTTCTCCACCTGCTAACGAGGGAAACACCTCAGTGATCCTGCCTGCAGCTGGCCAGATGTGTGACTCCTATCCCCAAGGAACACATCACCAGGAATGGATGAACCCACTGGGAATCCAGAGGTGGTGAAACACAGGAGTGGGAGATGAGCCAGAACAGCAACTGCCCTATCTTGCACCTATATCCAGCAAGGGACACCTTCCACTCTGCCAGGTTGCTCCAAGCCCCGTCCAACCTGGCCTTGGACACTTCCAGGGACTGGGAGTCCCTTCTGCTGGTCTGTCCAGACCCTGTTCAGAGCTGAGGGGTGGAGCACAGGTGTATTTCCAGGATATATTATTTGCTGTAAGGACATATCAAATAAACCAAAGCCCACACCCCAGCTGGAAGCTCAGCACTCCTCATTTCCAGCCCAGAAATCAAAGCTTATTGCAAAAGACAGCACGAGGCACATCTGAGGAACTATTTCAGTGTCTGAATCTTCCCAGCTTGTGTGTTTGTATTTGTTTCTCCTCTTATCTACATTCCACACCTCTGTTATTTAAACAGGCTCTGTGGGCTCTGTGGACCACTTACATAACCAGGAAAACTAACAGTATTCCTACACTGGAATGAAAATGGTATCTTGTGGAGAGCAGGGCAGCAGGTGAATGACATCCTGACCTACACAACCATGAGAAATCAACACTGCATTGCTGCACACAGACATTCCACTGTGCCCTCACAGGTGTCAAGCAGCGCTCCCAGGATCTTCTGCCAGCACCACTGAAGAATGTTATCCATTAGTTCCCCCCAAACAAAGGTTAAGGAAGGTCTTTTCTCACAGGGAATCACAGGTGAGATGGCAGAGAAGCTCCCAGGAAACTCATCACACACACTGGGCTCAGATTTCCTTGGAAGCAACAGACCCAAAGCAACACACAGGACTGCCCCAGCGCTGTCACACTCCTCATACAGCAGTAAAATCAGCAAAAAAAGCAGCAAAACATGAACAAAAACACAAACACTGAAAGGCAGGGGAGGGGTGGGAGGGGTCTCTATGCAAAAAGGAATTTCGTGCAGGCTAAATCCAAAACTGTTTTACTACAGTGGGTCAGAACTGTGTTACAACAGGAGCTTTCCATGAGCAGGGACAAGGTCTAATCATGAATGACTTCAAGCTCTTGTAGGACCCCCCACTGGCTTTTCATTGACTTCAGGAGTCAGACTTGATCCCTGCGGGTCCCTTCCAGCTCAGAATGTTCTGTGACACCTGAGCTCAGCTCAGCCCTGTTCCTGCTGACAATCCCAGAGGCAGAGCTGCAAATTCTGGGAGCAAACTACACCTAAACCAGGGACCTACAACAGGCAGCCCATTCGTTCCCTGGGCTACGGCCATCATCTTGTCCCAGTTTTCCATGGAAGATTCTCCCTTCCTGCAGGAGGTATCAGACCTTAACAGGTACCACAAAGAGGGGTCAGTGAAGGGATTCAACAAAGGCTGGTCCTCTGGGGGATTCCAGCAGCTGCTGGAGGAAGGGCTGGGGAAGAGCCCGGCCCTGCAGCTCCCACGCCATCCCACCCACGCCTCACTTACCGTGCGGTCCTCCAGATACATCGTTTTTGACAGGAAATCAATGCCAATGGTTGCCTGGAAAGAAGGGAAGCATTAGTGACTGCACCCTGCCTCCCAGCAGCTGCAGCTCCCACCCCTCCAAACTCGCAGAAACCCTCACAAAGTTGTGGTGAAGCTGGGGAAGTGACCTGCCTTCAACAGTGCTGATGAGAACAAAGCAATCTGGGCATCTGCACCAGCTTCACTTCACAGCACTCCTCACACAAGAACCTCCCTCTGAGGCTGGCTTTCAGCCTCAGACATTCATGGATCTCAACACAGACCACAGCTGAACCGGCAGCTCCTTCTGGCCTGCCCCAACTCAGTCTGGCAAAAATTATCTTATTAGAAATAACCAAAAGGTAGAACAAATGAGACATATAAATTATGGGCCATTCAGAGCTAAAAAGCCACATTTACTCAGGGCTTTCCACGTCAGAAGGTGCTTCCCTTCCAGTGACACCCAGAAGCTTCATTTCTCAGGCAGTTCTTTCTGCAAGTCTCCATCCATTCACATTCCCATTGCTACAGCAATTCCATTAAAAAGACATTTAAAATAGTGCACCAAGTTAGATGCACTCCCAGGCACTTCAGTCAAGCTGCTGTCCCAGCCCTTCATAACCCCAGGAAACAGGAGACAGCTGTGATGTAGCAGATTTTAGTGTTTTAGACATGGATTATCTTTACACACAGGCAGCACAGAAGGGCCATGGAATACCAGAAAAGACCACCAGAGTCAATTTTGGCAGGGAGAACTTATTTTTGGGAGGCATGTTTTCTAGCCAGGACAAGGTTAATAAATCTTAATAAGCACACAGATGTTTGCCAGCACCTTACAAAAGTCAGGAAAGGAGACACATGAAGCACAAGAGGATCCAGATCCAGCGAATGGCTTGTCCTCGACTCAAAATCACCCCAGTCCAAACCAGTAACTCCTTCTGGCTGAATTAAAAGATAATCCCTAATCTCATCTGCTTTAAAGATATTTGATATTCCCCTGAAAGAATTCCAAGTGCCTTTGCAGCAATTAATTCTTCCTAAAAATCTTCAGGCCTCTTACACATCTTCTGCGTTTCATCTGCAGCCTCTTCATCCCCACCCTCCTCTTTCCCTGCCAAGACTTCCCTGGCTCTTCCTATCTTTAGTCTTTTAGTTAAAAAATAGTAATTAAAAAAAAAAAAAAAGAGAGACTGAATATACCAAAGCTGACTTCTTGCAGATCCATCTATACACTCCAGACTCAACTACTCCTACTTAAATGGAAGCTCTAAAGATGCCGGAGACCAAGAATTATCACAAGATGGTCCTATCTTATTCATCCCCTGTTTCCTGAGACTCCCAAATCCACCACCAGGTATCCTGACCATCATCTTCTCCAGCAGCCAGACCCATAAATCAGTGTTTCTCCCCATTTTCCTCCAGGCTTCTCAGACATCCAAACAGGATCTATCACATACCCAGAGAGGATCTAAACCCTGCTGCCTTTTTGTGCACTGGATTTCCTGACATCATCCTGGATGCTTTGGTTTAATCATGAAGCCTCATCTCCATTTCACAGCACATTTTAACCTTTTATATGATATTTAACTGACACCTCATGGATCAGTGTGCTTGGCCCTCACAGGCACAAATCTTAACAGCAGGGAATAGATTTAACCATAAATATTTTTTAAAAATTAAGATAAAATCCTACCACATACCTGGTAAGTATTGTCAAAACTGTCATACATAAACCTGGTGATCAGGGAGGTCTTCCCAACTACAAGAGAAGAGAAGAATTACTTTCAAGCAGCAGTGGAAAAAAGATAAGCACTGCTTTGGGAGTGGCACTGATCTGAAAGCAGCTGCCAATCTCAAGCCATTCCAGCTACACCTTCCTGGGAAATAACCAGCCAGGAAAATCATTCCCAAAATGACAGAGGCAAATCAATCTCTGTAGGTCAAAAATTAATCATGGTGATGGCCTGGTCCTCCAATCAGGTGTGTTGCCATGTAGATAACAAAGAACTGGTTGTCTGCTTTAAGCAACCCACAAATCTGCTTTGTTCCTCATGCTCTGCTACTTACGTAATCCCCAAGTCTGGGACACAAACATCAAAACAAACCAGGTGACATCCCAGTTCTGCTGCCTTTGGCTGCATGGAAAAGCAACATCCAAGACTTGCACCCTTTCTTCCTTCATAATGAGATTTTAGATACAGAGCAAACTCTGGTGGCTTGCTTCAAAACTTTGTATTTACATCTCCACATTTTATCAGGACACAAAGTGCAGAACTGATACGAAACAGGAAACAAGGAGAAGATCTCCAATTCTTGCTCAGGAAGCCAAGAAAAATTCGAAGGAGACGGATGGAAAAGCGAAAAAGAATTAACTGCCTAAAAAAGGTTGTGAAATTATAAACATTGGACAGGGTTAAAAGCAGGTTAGACAAGCGTCTACCAGCAGCAACATCAATCCTGCCTTGGAAAGGCAGGGGAATTGAAGAACTTCCGGAAATTCCTGCAAGAGCTACGGTTCTGGGCTGGAGCAGAAAGAATCCCAGGATGGTCTGGGTTGGAAGAGACCTCAAAGCTCACCCAGTTCCACCCCCTGCCATGGGCAGGGACACCTTCCACTGGACCAGGCTGCTCCAAGCCCCGTCCAGCCCGGCCTTGGGTACTCCCAGCAAAGAACACCACCATTCCAAGGAAAACACACAACTCGTCCACAAATTATGCGGGATGGGGCACAAAAGGGATTCGGCTGGAAAGAAAACAAAAACCCCCGAGGCTGGAAGGGAGGCAGAGCAGGGCCGAGCGCCGCCCGGGAGCCCCCGCATCCCTCGGGCCGCTCCCGCACAGGGCTGCGGGTGCACTGCGGACCGGCCCGGCGGGGGGAACGGGGACCCGGTGGGGGGGAACGGGGACCCGGCGGGGAGGGGAACAGGGCCCTGGGCCCCGGGAGGGCCCCGGCGGGAGCAAACCGAGCCCCGCGCCCCCGCCCGCCGAGGCCTCAGGCTGGGCCGCCCCTCCCTGTGCCCGGCGGCTCGGCCTCACATCCCCGGCCCATCCCCGGCCGCATCCCCGGCCCCGCATTCCCGGCCCCCATCCTTCTGCCCCGCATCCTCGGCCCCGCACGCCCGGCCCCGCACCCCGCGGCCCCAGCGCGCCCCCGGCCCCGCCCGCCGGCCCCAGGCGCTGCCCCCGGCCGGGCCCCGCCGGCCTGGCCGCGCTCACCGCTCTGCTCGCCCAGGAACACGAGCTTGAACTTCCTGAGCGGGTTGCCGAAGTCGCCGCCGCTGCCGGGCGCGGACATGGCGGCGCGGGGGGGCCGAGCGGGAGCCGTGATGGGGACAAGGAGACAGCGCCGGGCGCTCCGGTGCCACCGCCCCGCGCGTCACCTCCGCCGCGTCACCCCGGGGCGGGCCGTTACCCGGGCAACGGGCAGGGCGGTTGCCGGGGTGCCGGGGAGGTTGCCATGGAGACGGGGCGGCCAACGGGACGGGGACGCTGCGGCCTGGACCGGGCTGGGCCCGGCTGTGCCGGGAGGGTTGTACTGGGGGGAGCCCAGCTGTACTGAGATGGTTGTACTGGGGGGAGCCCAGCTGTGCCGGGAGGGTTGTACTGGGGGGAGCCCAGCTGTACCGGGATGGCTGTACTGGGGGAGCCCAGCTGTACTGGGATGGCTGTACTGGGGGGAGCCCAGCTGTACTGGGATGGCTGTACTGGGGGGAGCCCAGCTGTACTGGGATGGCTGTACTGGGGGGAGCCCAGCTGTACTGGAATGGTTGTACTGGAGGGAGCCCAGCTGTACTGCAAATGGGCCTGGCTGTACTGGGGAGGGCACCCAGACTGTACTGGGATGATCTGGGCAGTACCATGGATGCCCCTGGGCTGTACCAGAGATGGGCCTGGCTTGTACCTTGTACTGGGGACCTGGACAGGAACAGCTCCCCTGGGTCCTGCAGTGCCTCAACCCCTCCCCAGCCCCTGCCCCAAAGGCTCAGGCTCCCCCCCAGCCCTGGGTGGTCCCCACGCCCCCACAGCACGACACGGAGCCTGCACTGGGCACCGGGCAGGTTTATTGAGATCAGTGTCACAGAGCTGGGCACAGCTGGGCAGGTGACAGAGGTGTGGGTGACGTGCTCTGCCGGGGCCGCCACACCCACCCTGTCCCTATCCCCTCGCTGGCACCATGGGAAGAGGGAGCACCGGGGGGCTTTCCTGCACGGCAGCCCCGGGATGAGGAGCAGCGACTCCTGCCACGGCTACCAGGGCTTGGAGGGGGTGCCAGGAGCCCAGGGAGGGGGGCACCTATGGGGGCTGTGAGGGGCTGAGGGGCTGCACCATGTGGGCACAGTGGGGAACGCTACAGGCAGCTACATCCCAAACCAGGCCGTGTGGGACCAGCAGCTTAACCCTCCTTCTCAGCTTCCTCCTTCTCATCTTCATCATCCTTCTCTCCCTTGAGCTTCTGGCGAGCGAATTCCTCGATGACAATGTCCTCCGCACTGCAAGGGAGAGCAGAGCATGGTGAGAACACAGGATACACCAGAGCGAGGAGGGGAAATCCCTGCTGGGCCCCTGCTCCTCCTGGGGACAGCACTGTGGTCACCATGGCCTCATCACCCCACAGGGCACACTCAGGTCACTGTGAGCCTGACCCCAGCACACAAACACAGGCCCCATCACTGGCTCCACTGTGAGCCTGTGAGGCCCAAGGAGCTGGGCCTGCAGCTTCTGGTGTTTTTCAAGACAACGTTTTGCATTGTCAAGGGGAAAAAAAAAGGGAAGGAAAATAAACTAAAGTGGCAACAAAGAGCTGAGCTACTTCCTTGAGAAAGGTGAGCGGCAGGTGGCAGCAAGGGAGAGCCACAAAGTGAAAAGTGGGGGAAGAAAACAGAAAAAAAGAGTCAGCAAAAGTGATTCCAGAAGCTTGTGAATGTGAAATGACTTGGCAAAGCCTACAGGAAGCCCTGGTGTGGACAGGCCAAGAGATTTGCTCCTCTGGAAGTTTAAATATCCTTGCTGAGCTGGGAAAGGGATAGTGTGAAAGGGGTTGGTGTGACAGCCTGCAGTTGGAGCCTGGATTTCCAGGTCCCAAATCCCAGTGCTCGTGTCCCACTGCAGGGTGTAACCAGACACAAAACCTTTGGGGTTTTACAAGCCAGGGCTGTGGCTGCCAGGAATGGGTTTGGCACGCTGTGGCTTCCCAGAGGAAGCAACCCCAGCTGTGGCTTCAGCTGGAATAAGATGAAGTGGTAGGAGGAGAAAAGGTCCCTGGTGCTAGGGAGCATTTAAGGGCACAGGGATATGACTTCAGTGTGGGGATCAAGGCCATGGGGACACTATGTCCAGTGGTGGCACTTGTGGCTGGAAGAGCATTGCCAGCTGCTTCTGACAGACAGGGGCAGATCTGTGTGGTTTGTGTGTTGGAGGGAATATCTCTTTACCTTATCTTAGCTGTAGTCCCATGATAAGCACAGCACAGAGAGAAAGGATGGGGAGAGAGAGATGGGCAGGTTAGTACAGAAAGGACAGTCCAGCTAACAGCTCTCCTTAATGCCTGGGTGTTTTCCTGGGAAGAGGGAGGTTGGGAAGGGTGCTCTGGGGAGAACTGCTCCCAGCCTGCTCCAGGACACAGCTGTGCCCACCCCACAGCCAGAGCAGAGCAGGGCCCTTTGCACAGGCTGTATCAGGGTTGTTTCACTGGTTCCCCTCTGAACCAGAGCTGCCTCTTCCTCCCCCTGTTTCAGCAGCATCCCACACTCCACTTACTCTCGTCAGGCTTCGGGTGCATGAGGATGACGGGCATCTCCACACCGACATCGCTGGAAGGAAAAGCACCTCTGTCAGTGATCCCACCCAGAACCACACCCTGCCCAGCCCCACTGGCAGCTCCCCTTACCTGGAAGTGAGATCCCCCAGGATCCTGTGGCAGCAGGAGAGAAGGCACAGAAATCAGCCAAGGCAGAGGGGGACAGGTGTTAGACTTTGTTTTGTAATAGGGCAGAAGATGACTGGGGGTAGGGGTGATGGGGCCAGAGGGGTGGGAGTAAGAGAGCAGCCCACTGCCCCACAGACCACGGGAGCAGGGCAGGGGTGACGGGGCCCATGGTCTGAGTCCCCTCTCCGTCTCCCTGGGGGTGCAAGATCCCCCAGCACAGCCCCAGGGGACAGTCCCTGATCCCCATGCCCACAGAGCCTTACCCTCCTCGGGACACCATCAGGTTGACCTTCACTTTGTAGGACACCAGGATGCCCAGCACCTCCTTGTCCATGCCGGGTCTCAGGCTAGGGGGAAGGCAGAGAGGAGCAGTGAGGGGCAGTGCTGCCCACAGGTCCCATCCACACCCCCCCTGAGCAGTGGAAAGCTGTAGGAGTGGGGAGCAGGGGCAGCCCAGCCAGCTCTCACATGGTGGTGGAGGCCAAGTTGGTGTCCTCGTGCTTGAGCTTCCCATCGAGAGCGAGGCCTCGCTTGTGGCGGTTGGTCGAGAGCAGGGGGGTCACAGAGTAGGTTTTGGAGAAGGTGGAGTTGGCTGCCACATTCTCACTGGGAGGAGTGGGAGAGGAGGGCTCAGAGCCAGCACCAGCCTGGTGGGTGCTCTGCATCACCCCAGTCACCTGTGCAGAGCCAGCCCTCCCCAAGCAGCTGCCAGGGCCTGTTTCCTCCTTTTATTCCTCTCTACAACCACTTCTTTTTTTCTCCCCCCAGCCTTTGCTCCATCCCTCCTCGTTCTCAGGGGTGCAGAGGCTGTGGCTGCCCTCAGAGATGCAAAGTGAGGAGAGGAAGAAGCCAGGGGGCAGCTGTGCACCTTCCCCAGGGACCTTCCTGGCTACCACCAGCTTGTGTTTGGGCCACAGAGGCCACAGCCTTCCCTCTCCTCTGCTTCCTCTGCACCTGCTCTTCTAACCCTGATATTTTTGCTGCCTGGTGTAAAACTGTCTCCCACATCCCCTCTCCCCATCCCTCTCCCATCCTTCTCCTCCTTCCTTCTCTTCCTCCCTCTGGCTGAGATGCCACATCACCTGCAGCCCCTTTCTCCTTACTTTATCTCCTCGGTGCACACAGTCTTCGTGTATTTATCCAGGGAATAGAGGACCACATCTGTGATCTGATCCACTGAGGGCAGACAAGAGGGAGCCGTGTTGGTGGCGTGGCAGAGGCACAGACACGCTGTCCTCATCTCTGACAGGGGGATCGGGATGTGCTGGGTGCCGGGATGTGCCTCTTGTGCCCCTTCTCACCTGAGATCTTAATTTTCTTCACTATCTTGTTGGTGGTGTTGTTGATGTTGACGGTCACGTTGATGGGCTCTCCATGGTAGTAGATCTGCAGCGGGAAGAGGTTTGGTTACATGACCTGGTCCCCAACCCTGGGGCGGCGCGAAGCAGGGGACAGCTCCCTACTGACCTCCTTGTCCAGGGAGGCCTCGAGGTGCAGAGGCTTGTCTGACATCATGAACTGCCGGGTGGTCTCCGCCCTCGGGGCCGGCCCCGTGCTGATCGGGGCGAACTGCACCTTGCGGATGATGAGGCGCGCGGAGTTCCTGTGGGAGGGCAGGGCTCACCCCCAGTGCCCCACCAGGGGCACATCCACACCACCTCCCAGGGGTCACAGGGACTCTCCTGGGGGACACCACAGGGTCTCCGGCCAAAGGGTGCACATTGCAACCCGCTCTTAGGACGTGCCGTGGGACCACTGCCCCTATTTCGGGCAGAATACCCCACCCAAATGTGACACAAACTGACAGCAGGCCCTTGGCTTGAGCTCTAAGCTGGTCACCCCAGAACAGATCCTGTGGTTCAGTTTTAGGGCCACGGGGCAGAAAAAGGATCTCTTGAAAATACCTCTTGTGAATTTTCTCCTCCAGATTTTCAGCACAAAATCCTTTCACCTCGAAGTCCACACCGCAGGCCTGGGGGAACACGTGTGGTCACTGAGCAGGAGGGGCTTGGGGCTGCCCAACGTTTGGGTTCCTTCCCCTGGAGATCCTGGTGCTGACTCCAGCCATCCTTCCTCCCCACCCCTCACCCCATGGGCGACGTCCCCATAAAGGGAATCAACTCTCGTTTTTAGCACCCCACAATTTAACCCCCTGCCGGGGAGGAGAGGTCCAGGGGACACGGGCTGGGGACAGCAGCTCACCTTTCCCTCATCATCTGGCCCGGGCTGGAGGCTGATGGAGCAGGGCAGGTTGGTGGCAATCTGGACAGAATAGGGAAAGAGAGAGAAAAGGAAATACAGAGCATGCCCAGAAATAAATCCCAGTGCGCTCCATGGGGGAGCACGGCCAGGAAGGGCTGAGCAGCCCCTACCTCGAAGGTGAAGGGGTAGGCATTCTCCCCAAGCTTCTTCAGCAGCTTGTCCTGCAGGGGAGTGAGG